TCCTGCTTCTGCCAATTCACTGGGCAGGAAGGGAGAAATTAGGATGGTAAGAGAAGGAGTGGCTTTGTCCCTTCCAGATAGCCCCCATTTTTTGCTTTGGCTCCTTCCTTCCTTCCTTCCTTCCCTCCCTCCCTCCCTCCCTCCATTCAGCCATACACCCATACATCCATCATTCAGTTCATTGGCCACCCCATCTTAGAGCAGGATAACTCTGGGCAGCTTACAATATTAAAAAGATAAAACTCTATAATTTACAGACTACCAAAGTATAAAAATGCAATAGTTAAAACAATTTTGTCAGGTGTCGGCGCCAGCTGCACAAAGGGTTCCTCCTCCTGGTGTGAAGTCTGGCTGTTTAATTCCAAGAGGGCCCAACAGGTGACCACATTCATCCCAACCCCAACTGCTCCTTTGCCCGTCTTCTGAACGGAGTCATCTTACACCCTCCTCAGTGCTCGGGTGAAGGGTGGGGGGCCAGTGGGTGGGCAGGCCGTGTGGGAAGCACATCCTTGTGTTCCCACGCAGCCTGGATTAATTGCTTTTGGGGGGTGGGGGGGCATTTCTCTGAGGACCACCAAAATTTTTCTCTTTTCCAGTTGGCAACTGGAACACCTTTGAGATGGTCTTGATTCCCAATAGCTCCAGGGATGAGACCATGTGGGGTTTTTTTTTCCGGCAACGTCATGGAAGAGACTCTGCAACTACGCGTGCAATGTACGTAGATTTTGTAATCTAGTCTATGAAGGTCAGCTTCCCAGAAAAAGGCACTGGGAGAGAAGCCAGGTGAGTTCGTTCTACTCCCACCTTAGGCCTTGAAGCCAGCTGAGCAATTTTTTTTGGACCAATCTTCTCAACTCCTGGAATAATAATGCAAATCCTACTCCTGAAAATATAGTGATTATTTAGAAAGCAAATTTCTTGCACTGAGATTAAGCATGTCAGTAAAAAGGCTTGTGCGTGCACAAAGGATGTTTTAGTTCTTTACTCATCAAATGTATACGGGCAAGTGACTGGGCGGTGTCCAAGACTAAAAACCAATATATATAAAACAACTATGATTATTAAAACTTGTTTTAGAAAACAAAAAGGCTGAGAGAGAAACACCAGATGTTAATAGCAATGGAGCCCACCTCAATAGATCATCGATCCCGTGGGATCAGCAGGTCTAATGGCACAACCAGATTTTAAGGGGCTTCTGTAAAAAAAGCCAACACAATTCTAGGCTGCATAAACAGAGGGATAGAATCAAGATCATGTGAAGTATTAATACCACTTTATCATGCTTTGGTAAGGCCACCCTTGGAATACTGCATTCAGTTTTGGTCGCCACGATGTAAAAAAGATGTTGAGACTCTAGAAAGAGTACAGAGAAGAGCAACAGAGATGATTAGGAGGCTGGAGGCTAAAACATATAAAGAACGGTTGCTGGAACTGGGTATGTCCAGTTTGATGAAAAGAAGGACTAGGGGAGACATGGTAGCAGCCTTCCAATATCTCAGGGGCTGCCCCAAAGAAGAGGGAGCCAAGCTATTCTCCAAAGCACCGGAGGGCAGGACAAGAAGCAATGGGTGGAAACTAATCAAGGAGAGAAGCAACTTAGAACTAAGGAGAAATTTCCTGAAAGTTAACACAATTAATCGGTGGAACTGATTAATTGCCTCCAGAAGTTGTGAATGCTCCAACACTGGAAGTTTTTAAAAAGAGATTGGATACCCATTTGTCTGAAGTGGGGTAGGGTTTCCTGCCTAGGCAGGGGGTTGGACTAGAAGACCTCCAAGGTCCCTTCCAACTCTGTTATTCTATTCTAAAATGAATAGTGAAGGAGCCCACTTTTTATATTGGACTAACAACCCATGATCTCGTGGGTTGTTGTTTCAGAGAGATTTCCTTACCAGGTTCCTCATTTCCTACAACAATGGCAGAGCTTGTAATATACTTGAAGAGTTCTTAGAAATTCAGGAAGACAGAGATTTTTCCAAAGCACCAAAAGGCAAGATAAGAAACAATGGAAGGAAGCGAACCAAGAAGAGAAGCAACCTAGAACTAAGCAGGAAATCCCTAACAGTGATAGCAATCAACCAGTGGAATAGTTTGCCCTCAGAAATTGTGGGTGCTCCATCACTTGAGGCTTTCAAAAAGGGACTAGACAACCATTGGAGACGGCATAGGATCTCCTGCTCGATAAGGGGGTTAGACTAGAAGACCTCCAAGATCCCTTTCAACTCCTATTAGTCTTACGTTCTAGATACATCTGCCTTGAAAATAGCCCATGCGAGCTCATATAACACAATCATCAGAAGTCGACTACGGGAGATGCCTTACGACCCTTTGTATTATGTCATCAAATGCTTCACGATCATTTTACGTCATCAAACGCTTTATAAAATTTCCCCAATGTCAATTCCACAGAAGTCATAGGTCCACTGATTTTGGATCCATCCTGTAAGTTAGTCCGCTTGCGGTTCGGTTCAAAAAGTTTTGCCCTCTAATGGATGCACTCTTTCGGCCAGTTAATGGTTACAGCGGACAACAGAGTTTTAGTAGTATATGGATTAGATGAGGCTTGGGATGTGTGTGTGTGTGTGTGTGTGTGTGTGTGTGTGTGTGTGTGTGTGTCCTGCACAGCACCTTGAAAATCCCCTCTGATCTCATCTTCCCATGAAAACAGCTGCTAAAGAGGTTAAGTACTTGTCAGAGGCAAACACATCTGGGAAGGGGGGAGGAAGGCAGGGCAGGAACGCCAAAACTCGCTTAGCTGGAGGGGATTTCCTAGCCTGTCTTCCCCTTCTCCCCAGAGGAGATCGTGGCAAATACTACTAAGATGGGGGCCCGGGGACCCACACAGTTATGCCTATTTTTTCTAGGTCCACCTGCAGAGCTTCTGCTGGAGCGATAAACTGGGATGATGCTGGGAGCGCTTTAAGGATTAAAGAAGCGCAGTGTTTCCTTGCCAGCTGGCTCGCTATCAGGCTGGGCGGTTGAAACGCATTTCTAAGGCTGGGCTGTGTTGAGTCTCTTCTGAGAAAAGCAAGAAAGGCGGGCGGGGCGGTGGGGGAATCGAAGCCTTAAAGAGGTCCCTCTTTCTTTGGTGGTGCAAGATTTGCAAGCACAATGAAAGGACTAATTCTTTGCCCAACACGGATCCTTTCAGACGGAGCTATCCTTCTTGCCATTCCCTGCCCCCACTCCCCATTCAGTCTTTTAGGAATTGGTTTTGCCTTCCAAGGGGATCCGGTATCTCTACGTTCCCCTCGTGCAGGCACTCCCAACAAAGATTGGGTGAGCAAGTGGAATCATCCTGAGGATGGTTGCAAGAAGATCGCCCCAAAGTATTTTTAGAGGAATCTGGGGGGTTTTCTTTACTCATTCTTCACGTTCTCTGGGGAATTGTGAGACTTGTAGTCTACTCATCTTGAAGTGGCCAACGTTGTGAAAGGCCACTCTGTGCGCTTAAACAGCGGCTCTGGATTTATCTTGCTGTGTAAACCTAACCAAATCACCGCAGATGGGGATGGCAGCCAAGAAATTACAAGACGCTTGCTATGGAAAGCTATGGCAAATCTAGAAAGCACACTAAAAAGCAGAGACCATCATCACCCTGCCAACGAAAGGGTGTGTAGTCAAGGCTATGGTTTCCCCAGTTGCAATGTATGGCCTTCAAACTCTGGTGCTGGAGAAGACTCCTGCGAGTCCCTTGGACTGCAAGGTGATCCAACCGGTCAGTCCTACAGGAGATCAACCCTGACTGCTCTTCAGAAGGCCAGATCTTGAAGATGAAACTCAAAGACTTTGGCCACCTCATGAGAAGGGAGGACTCACTCGAGAAGAGCTGAGAAAGATTGAGGTCAACTGAAGAAGAAGGGAACGGCAGAAAAGGAGGTGGACGGGTGGAGTCACTGAAGTAGTAGGCATGAGATTAAATGGACTCCGGAGGATAGTAGAGGACAGGAAGGCCTGGAGGAACGTTGTCCATGGGGTCGCGGCTAACAACAATAACAAACCCCGACCATGCTAGCCTGCTGGTTAAAGGTTTACAAGCAGAGGTCTCCAACCTTGGCAACTTTAAGACTTGTGGACTTCAACTCCCAGAATTCTCCAGCCAGCTATGCTATGCTGGCTGGAGAATTCTGGGAGTTGAAGTCCACAAGTCTTAAAGTTGCCAAGGTTGGAGACCTCTGGTTTACAGTGATGGAGAGGCAGGCTCCCATTGTCATTAACCATGGAACTTGTGATGCTTTGAGCCAGTCAACGACTTCCCTAAGCCTGTAGCCCAACCAGTCTAGTTTGGAAAGTAGAATTTAAAGTTCAGTGATGACCCCACCCCTCAACTCATCATTTTAAATCCCGCGGTCCAGAGACCCTGGGAAAATCCCCCCCCAAAAGTTCTGCAGGAAAATTCCCCACCCCGTTTTTGTAGCAAGACAGGTCGTAAAATGGGGCAATGCTCAACAAATGTCTCACTTAGCAACAGAAATGTTGGGCTCCATTGAGGTCCTAAGTTGAGGACTACTTGTATTG